TGTATATTTACATGTTTACAGATTTATATCACATTATCGACTAAATAAAGACGTATTTGGGTGTTAAATTAGGTTTATTACGTTTTGTAAATCCTCTTAAATTATCTTGATTTTTTCCAATAAACCATATAAAAATATATATGATTTAAATCGTAACAATAATGTAAAGTAATTTCTTAACTTAGATTTCGCAACTGTCAGCGATTATCCTCTTGCTTAGTTTCTGATAACAAAACCAATAAAATTGGTTTCCGTGACACCCTAAACCGATACAATTTCTGTTTCGAACGTCAAACCAATAATATCTGAATTCATTACACCTACTACATTTTTTATCGGTTTCAATTCCGACAACTATCAGATTCTACAACACCCCTAAATGTGTCGAAGGACTGACGCGAAATTTAAGGCGTTCAAGATGCGTCGAAAAAATAAACGAACGCTCTCCGATTGTCACCGCTTTCCTTGCCGCTCTAACAGCTTTGCCTACAAATCATTGTAAATATGTATGTTTATGGTTATGGGTGGGTGTATACATTAATTCGTGCGGTTTTCTAAGAGAGGGCTCTACTAGTATTATTTCGCGTCGTGTTCATCTGTGGCTATATTCGAAGCTTGGAAATTGGGTGCCTTATGAATTAAAGCCAAGAGACGTCGAGTGTCGATTCTGCAAGTCGGAAACGTTGGTTCAACGCCACCAAAAGAAGTAATTTTTGCATCGGATTGTCACTGGCGATGAAAAATGGATTCATTATGGTAACCCAAAGCGCAAGAGATCGTATGTGAAGCCCGGCCAACCATCGACATCTACAGCAAAGCCGAATATCCATGGTGCCAAGGTTATGCTATGTATTTGGTGGGATCACAAGGGTGTGCTCTATTATAAGCTATTGAAATCGGGTCAGACGATCAATGGGGACCTCTATCGAAAACAATTGACTCGTTTGAACAGGGCCATCGCGGAAAAGCGACCAGAATATGCAACCAGACACGAAGCAATAGTTTTTCATCAAGACAACGCTCCGCCACATGTTGCAAGGCCAGTTAAAAACTATTTGAAAAACTGTGGGTGGGAAGTTCTACTTCACCCGCCTTATAGCCCAGACATAGCACCTTTCGGTTACCACTTGTTCAGATCAATGCAGAATGACCTCACCGGAGTACGTTTCACTTCAGAACAGGGTATCAGAAATTGGCTTCTTTTGGGATGGAATCCACAAACTACCAGAAAGATGGGAAACATCGTAGCTTCCGATGGGTAATACTTTGAACATTAAATGTATAACAATTTTTTCACAATAAAGTCTTAATTTTCGAAAAAAAACCGTGCATACATATTGGAGCAGATTTTTGCAAGCCACGGAAAAATATATCGGAATTGTAACATATTTTAAATCGACAAAAGTTTTGTTGCCACTTTTTTCTGTGTTTTGTGGGCTTGCGGGGTTGTCACTTTTCCTTTTGGGGGAACATCAGAAAGCTGTTCAATTTATGATTTCTACCTTTTCCCAACGTCGCGAAAAGATGCTAGTAAGCAAGCGATGTGTAAGACGTTTGCTTTACGCAAATGTTGTTGTTGTGTGATTTATTACCAATTTAGGACTTGTCAATTTGGCTGTCATATTGATTTCTGTGCTGCTCATGCTATTTGAGAGAGAGTTATTTTTGTACAACAACGTTTGTTCCTCTATGTGTACATACATACAAGTATATACATACATACACACAAAAGACATCAAAATTGCCGACTGTAAACCAATGTTTGACTCCATATGTATGTACATCAATATGGAGATAGATAAATTATTAATTTTGTAATAATTTAAATTAGAAAATAATCATTTTTTGCAGAATCTTTCACATTTTATCTTTCCATATTTGTGCAAAAAAAATATCAAAATTTATCAATTTTTCATCATAAAAATCGCTTATATTGGGTGGTTTTTTTTCGAGGATAGAACTTTAAGTTGGCATTACTGTTCCAGATGGCGACCGATTTAACAGTTGTCAAGTGATTTATTCTCAGTTTGGCTTGGCAATTCATCATGAATAAACTCACGCCTGAACAACGCTGGCAAATAATGCAATTTATTTCGAAAATAATGGTTCTGTGCGGAATACGTATCGCGCACTATGTCACACAGCTCGTGCCACAATCTATTTATTAAAAGACACGTTTGGTGACCGCCTAATTTCACGTTTTAGACCTGTGAATTGACCTCCAAGATCTTGTGATTTAACACCGCTAGACTACTTTCTGTGGGGTTATTTAAGTCATTGGTCTATGACGACATTCGCCGTGTTGTTGCCAATATACGGCCACAAATGTTGGAAAATGTCAACGAAAATTGGACGTCCAGATTGGACTACATCCAAGCCAGCCGTGGCGGTCATATGCCAGAAATCATATTTAAAACGTAATGCCACAAGATTTTCTTTCGGATAAATAAAATTCACGTCAATCGAATAATCCAACGTTGTTTTATTGCAATTTAAAGTTCTATATCTCTAAAAAAAACATCCTTTATAACAAAAAATAATCACGCATACATATGTATGTGAAGTGGCATTTGTATGTTTTCTTCAAAAATTTTCATATTTCTCTTTATATTGGTAGATACGTATTTCTGCCAGAGAATGTTGTTTAAAGTTCTCATTTCTGCTAAATAGCGAATACATTAGAACACCTACTCGGTGTTTTTCAGCTCTGTTAGCCGTCCAATCGAGCATCATGCAAAATTCAATTTGCACCTTATCGTTCTGTGTGGCACGTAGTCCCGTCTTGTTGGAACCAGATGTTGTCAAGATAAACTTCTTCAAATTGCGACCACAAAAAGTTCTTTATCATATATTCAATACCGACAATAATGGTATCACCACCATCATTTCGAAAGAAGTGCAGACTGATGATTCCACCAGACCAAAAACCACACCAAACTCTCAATATAGGTGAATGTATTGGCTGTTTATGAATTATTTGTGGATTTTTTTTGCACCAGAACCGACAGTTTTGTTTATTTACCGCACCACTCAACATAACCATAACGACAAAAGCGCACGAAAAGTTGCAATTGGAGAACTATTATTTTGATAATTAAATTGAATAATTTATAATCGTTGTTCTTGCGTATATCTTCCCACTATAAACTGTAAACGTTACTGAATACAATAATTACAGATCATGACTATTAGATTGGAAAACCTGATATTTTTGGCAAACACAAAATTGTATTGTTTTAAATATAATTCTCACTTTAAGCGAGCGCTGTATTCACATTAATAATACGAAAAATTACACACACAAGTTATTCGCATTAGGAATTATCGTGAAGGTCAACTCAGCTGAAGTGCAATTGCCAAGTCTTGCTAAGGACGAACCGCCTTCATGATCACGGTAAACTCTACGCCAGATAAGTATGATTTGTTCAGCATACAAGCTTGACTCTTGAACTACAACTTGTTTAAAAAAGCAGAGAATTTCCCAGTAACAAGATATTAATAGAATAACGGACCGAAAATTGTAGTGGTGATTTAGAATTTCTTGCTCTGCTCCACGAGATGGAGCTTCCCCCAGAACGAGTCACTGTGACGGGAGCAGTTTCATCAAGGTGTATTGTCGGGCCATACTTCTTTGAAAAAAACGATGTCAAATTTATGAATCTTTTTTCCCCCGAACTGCGCCAAAGACGTATACTTTATATCGTATAATTTTCTATTTAGGTGTCGTATATTCGTGGTATCGAGGTCATTTACGGCCAAAAATTTTAAAAATAATTAATTACATAAAATAAAATAAAATTTGCTATACACTAAAGAAAAAAAAATATAATGCATTGATTTAAAAAAAGTTATTAAAGTTTTTAAGTTTTTTGTATTATGATTCGTGCGCCACCCTGTATGTTTGTATTAGGTTCTTCACTCCCTAAACCACCAAGTTGCGAAGCTTTCTCTCTGCCTCATACACCCTAGCCACTGCGCGTTAAACGTTTAACGCAACATTTTCCGAACTCCCATTAGAAGTTTCACTTCAAAAAAATATGGTGGAGCAGTGCACACTTAAAAAAACTTTAAAGCAACCTTTTTGTAGAGAATACCTCTTTTTTGCTCTGTTACAAATTTATAGTTTGACAGATAAAAGCTTGTGCAGTGTGAATGAGAATTTCTTCGAGTATTTTATTAGTCTCAGTTTAGTCTTTTCTTACTAGTTAGACGTGCCAATATTAAATTCGCTGTTTAAATTTTATCCTTAAGCGAACTTTACTTTATTGTACTATTTACGTATTGTGTTTTTGCAGACGTCAGTAAAATGTCACCTATAAAAAACCATTTCATGGAATCTAGTCAATCTCATTTTACTACAAAGAATAGCACTCGTGTTATAGCACAGAAAGGTGGTTTGGCTGTTTTACCATGTGTCGTCAAACTAAATTCTCCAGCAACAGTAAGTATTGTATTTATTACTTACTTATATTATATTATATTATATTATTATACTTTAACATACAAGTATGTATGTATATGCAAACGAACTGAAAAGCTTTTGGCCTAATTTTGATTTGGAAGTCAGATCGATCCAATAACGATCACTGTAACTGTAATATTGTATATCATCTTCGAGTTAACCTACAAAAAATTTTTTGATTTATCAAAATACGTGAATAAGATGCGAAAATTTAATTTCAAGCACACGCTAACATGACGATGTTTTCTTAAGCAGAGTGGATCATTTGTGCTGGCACGGTTACGACGCCAAAGTACTTAACCATTGAATATGCTGTGATGGAATTGATGTAACATTTGCCAATGCGTTGCATCAACGGTGTTTTTTCTTAACAGGTTTTTTTAATCAAAATACGGAATAAATAAAAAATAGCAGAGGCACCGTCATCTTGAGACCTTTTTATTGCGCGATTTGTAGGCCAGGCCAAAGACTTTTCAATGTGTTGTGCAGCATGAAAGTTGTTCATACCAATTATTAAGAAATTTTGATTATAAATTCAACGCAAATTTGGAAATATTTTATGGCTTGAAACGTAGATATAGAAAGTTTTTTTAGGCTATTGGGGAATTACAAAGAAGTATTCGAACTATTACATAAAACATTGATTAATTTTACACGACAACAGACCTAAAATGATTGTGTTGGAGGTGAGCAAAAGAGGACCAAATCCCACGTAATTTCATCGGAGGAATATGAAGTTTGTAACTAAGTTGAGTCACAAAACCTACTTCGTATATGAAATCGGACTATACCTTTTAAAGCCCCCAAGTACCGAATATAAGGTCGTCGGTCGTAGCCTGATTTTATACAAAATATTAGCAATTTTGTTAGATATTTTAATAAAAAGATTGAACCTCATTTCTTGACAATAATGCGATCTGAAGTACACAATAAATAAAATCAAGTAATGATAAAAAAATGTATCGACTAATCGATACATGTGAGAATGTAGGTACTATGAGAGGCGTGAAATTAATGATGAAAGGTTGTGTTACATAAAAACTTAAACTTGTTTTTGTTACGATTGAATCATAACAACCCGCCGACTTGATGCTGAACATAAAATAAGAAATTTTGTACCGGATAAATACAGAAGATTTTTAGAAATTCGAACTTATTACTATTTAATATTATACATAAAACACAATATTATACATAAAAAAACATTGTTCTAAAAATTTTCTTTTTAAGCTTGTTTTTTATAGTCGGTGTATTTTCGGGTGTTTTTGTACGTAGCATATTTGAAAACAATCATCAATTTGAAGCCGGGTGAACGACGCTTAATTTGTACTGATACGAAGTCTTCGATGTTTTTTCCTTTTGTAAAACGGAAATTACCGAAACGGAGTGAAATGGAAATTATTTATTTATTAAAAACAGGAAGATATAAGAAACTACATTTATTATTTACTGAAACTAAAATTAACTACAGAGTTGTTCTTTAGATGGAATTTAGCGTTTACCCCGGATTGACGGATATTTTTAACCATTTGTCATATAATTTCTTAGTTTACAGACAGCTATTTCGTCGGTACATACCTACATACCATATTTTGTGGACTTATTTCTGTAAAGCAGCTTTCAAGACCATTGTATCGATTTTTCCTCATTGACTTCAAAAAATTTAATATTTTTGGGATACCTTAATGTACATATATACAATATGTTAAATTGCGGCTTTTTTAAAATAAAATTAACTAAATACTTAAATAGAACGTTCACCAAACTGTGTTAATAATATACCGGAAAACCCAAAAACAGTTTGGTTTAATGTATACAGCTGTGTATACCGGTTAGTTGAAAAGTGTCGACGTTTGCAATAAAAATATACTGTTTTTGGTACGAAGTATATTTTTGTATTCAACATAATCTCCCTTAACTTCAATACACTTATTCCAATGATCCTTCAATAATTTTATGCCTTTCCTTTAATGACTTTCTGAAGCTCTGCAAAATACCCGTCCACGGCTGTAATAACTTCTTCATTTTACGAAAAATGCTTTCCACGAAGGAATTGTTTCAGGTTTCTGATGAGTACTACCTCTCGCTGAGATCCAAAACTGGTGAATGCCCAAGCAATTCGTACTTTAATTCGTTTAATTTTGTCATTGTTAAAACCCTTTGTGAGCAGGTTAATAGTCTTGATGAAAAATGATTTTTTTGTGCTGCAAACTAGGTCTTTTCTCATTAATTTTTTCCTCTAGCTGTTCCAAAAGATTGCAATAATGTTCAGATTGATTGTTTTATTTTTCTGCAGATAATCAATTAACAAATTTTTTTTTGCATCCCAAAAAACTGATGCCATAATCTTCTTTGCTGATCGTTGAGACTTCACCTGCTTTGGAGCTAAACAACTAGCTTCAGTCCACTTTAAACGTTCTTGTTTCAATTTAACATCGATCAAATATCCATAGCGAAAATAATATACACAATTATGTATACCCATACTTAGCACAAAGTTCAGTGACCTCCCCAAAAAAAAAACAAGAAGAAACAACATGCATACAACAAGCTAAGCTATAGTGTCAGAATATATAACAAAAACAAGTAAGGAAGGGCAAAGTTCGGATGTAACCGAACATTTTATACTCTCGCAAAGTCAAATAGTATACTCGTTTGAGATTTCTTTGTGGATTGACACATATTTAGTACTTAGGGGCTTAAACAGTTTTGGTTCGATTCAGACAATTTTTGGCCACAAGGTGGCATGCTTTAATCGCATTATTCACGCAAAGTTTTATCCCGATACAGTCATTTTTGCTTGATTTGCATAGTGGAAAGTCAAAGAATCAGATGAAATTAAAAATGGTGTTATATGAGAAGTAGGCGTGGTTGTAAACCGATTTCGCCCATTTTCGTACTATGACATAGAAACATTAAAAGAACGCCATGCACCGAATTTGGTTGAAATCGGTTAAGCAGATCTCAAGATAAGGGTTTTCACCTAAAAGTGGGCTGTGCCACGCCCACTGTCTAATTTTGAACACGGTTCCTATAAAGTTATCTCATACCATCCCAGAGATAAAATTTAATGTCTCTGGCGTGTTTAGTGCTTGATTTATTGCGCTTTTAGTAGTTTTTAACAGTACCGTTATATGGGTAGTGGGCGGAGTTGCCACCCGATGTCAACTATTTTTACACCGTCAAAAGAAGTGCTAAAAACATTTGCTTCCGGTGAATTTTGTTATTATAGCATTAGCGGTTTAGGAGATATGCACATTAAACCTATTAGAGGCGGGACCACGCAGATGCCCCTCCTTAATGGGATTCTGTGTACCAAATAACAGTCTTGTATCTTATTGCGGAGCTTAGTTATGGCAATTTATTTGTTTTTGATTCATGGCGTTTTGTGGGCGTGGCAGTGGTCCAATTACGCCTATCTGCAATACCAAGCGTCTCACGGTACCAAGAAACATGTCTACCAAGTTGTATAAAGATATCTCAATTTTTACTCAAGTTAGAGCTTGCTCCTGATCATTTATATATATATAACCCTATATCTAACTCGATTAGTTTTAGGTGATACAAACAACCGTTAGGTGAATAAAACTATTATGCTCTGTAGCAACAGGTTGCGAGAGTATAAAAAACCAACGAAAAGAGTGCAGTGAAACAAAAAGTGGTGACAAACACACAGTGCTTTAACATACTTGTATATTGGTATGTAAAATATATATGTATATACAAAGTAATAATGTGAAGAGAAAATAACAAACAAAAACAAGCATACATAAAGTGCGTGTTAAAAAGCAAAAAATACAAATATTTTAACCAACTAGAACAAAAACCGGGTGCGAAAACCAAAGACAAAACATAAATAAAAACAAGAAAAAACGTTAACTTCGGTTGCACCGAAGCTATAATACCCTTCACAAATACAAAGGCCCCTTACAAGAACTTTATTCCGAACGTTCAATTTGTATGGTAGCTATATGATATAGTGATCTGATCTGACAAATTTCCACGGAGAATAATTTGTTGCCTTTAGCGATAACTCGTGCTTAATTTCGTGAACATACCTCGTCAAATTAACAAATCTTCCATGCAAGCACTTTACTCCGATCGTTCAGTTAATATTACAGCTATATGCTATAGTCATCCGATCTATACAATTTCTTTGGCGATTAGATTATTGCCTTAAATAATAATCCATGCCAAGTTTCGTGAAGATACCTCGTCAAATGAAAGAGTTTTCCATACAAGCACTTCATTCCGATTGTTCAGTTTGTATGGCAGCTATGTATATGCTATAGTGGTCCGATATCGGCCGTTCCGACAAATGAGCAGCTTCTTAGTGAGAAAAGGACAGGTGCAAAATTTTAGATCGATAGCTCATCATGCTGATCATTTATGTATATATTTTATAGGGTCTCCGACGTTTCCTTCTGAGTGTTACAAACTTCGTGGCAAACTTAATATACCCTGTTCAGGGTATAAAAACAATAAAGCATTTACTTTCTAATATTTTCCAGCAATACCCCTTATGTTTGGAAAAAAAAAACAATAAGCAGGATTGCATACTATATCCAAAGTGCATACGGAAGAATACCATAATATAATATTCACTTCGCTTTCCCGCTCTCTTCGCTGTGCTAACAAACATACATACGTATACACATTTATGTAAACAAACGGCCATTAATATACCTGTAACTTTGTACCCTACTTTGGGAGCTAATAAAATTATTTAATATCATAAATTTCGAAAATTATCAAACGGCGATAAAACAAATATATGATAAACGAATTTATTAAAAATTAAACTATTAAGAAACAAACACAAAAAATCCCTCAAAATAAAGCTACATATTTATAAATATATACAAACTTTTAAAGTCCACATTGGCAACTATCCGGCAATACCCCTTGTTCTTTGGCAAACAAAATACGCAGGATTGTGTACTACTAAAAGCACATTGATCTCTTCAACGAGCTCTCAATTGCAATAGAAAATA